TTTGTTCCCGAAGACGTTCCTAAACACTCAGTGAGCCCCAAGCTTAAACGAACCTCGAAACCTGTCAGCCCCCAAAGCCTGATAACCCTCAATGGACGAAAGAGCTTAGGGCGCTCGAACTAGAAGAAAACCCAAAACCAGGCTAGACCGCAAAGAAGAAGCTACAACACCCCACGAGCATGGCTTTTCGCTTCCTCGGTAACACCGAGGCAGTGCTCGATGTCCGCGCAGGAGGAGGCACGGAGCGGGAAAAGCCTGGCGATGCGAAGCTGGTAGGTTTCGGGGCATCAGATCGCAAGGTTTCATAAGCGAGGCCTTTGGGTCTATTGAGGGCTTTCGAGGTCTGATGTGGCCACTTTAGATTTGGGCATCCTTCTTGGGGGTTGCCGTGGGCTCTATGTTCGGGCGCGGGTCTCTCACTTACCCTCTGAACATTAGGTGTAAAAGCCTTTATAGCTGAAGCCTTTGCAGAGAAGAGCTGCGACTGGATTCTGCACAGCTTTTGTCTTCTGGGTAACCGCTGATACATTGACAGCTCAAACATGCCTCTGGGATGGAGCCTTTGACCTTACACAGTGCTTTGCTGAAGTTGGCAAACCCAACATCCTCCAAGCTCTAACCCTTGCACCTAGACCCGCAGCCCACAACCCCAAATGCAGAAACGGAATCCCCGAATTCCAAACCCTCTACCCCTTGCGGGACCCTCGAAGCCCAACTCTGCACCCGCTCTCCTTGAGGCTGCCGACATGCTCGAGGCCAGAGCTGTCCAGAGATGCTCCCAGTCCTGCCAGCAACTGCCGTCGTCTGGGGGCTTTATTTAGGGTTTAGGGTTTAGGGTTTGGGGTTTGGGCCCCAAGGCTGAGGATGTCCTTAGGGCGCTTGTGGTTTCTTTAGGATTGGTTTTGGGCTCAGGGGCTCATCGAGGAGTCTAGGCCAACACCAAGTTTACCTGAACGGCGGTGGTGGTAATATTCAGGATTTGAAGTTCAGAGGCTTAAGTTTCAGCGTTCAATGCCTGAAGCTTCGGCCATTCTCAGAACTCGAGCCAAGTTTGGAGTAGTTATTTCAGTTCTCTCCATGCCTTACAACAGTTCCGAACCAAAACAGAGACGAGCTTTGCCAAGATTGCGACAATCTCCCGAAGAGCGAATCTCCCATGTCCGTTCGTGTCGATGACCGAAGACAATCGCACACTTCACGATTCGAGCTGAAGGCAATCCTCTAATCGGCTCGGCTCCTGTTGGCGAAAAACGTTGTGGATTGCAATGTCTTCATCGAAACTTCTGGAGGCCCCATGAGCAGGTGCATAAGAGACCCAAACACTGTTCAGAAACCCTTGACCACCGCACCAACGGCTCCTGGCCTGTGGCTTCAAGCGCCGTTCCGTGCGCAGGGAGACGACAGCCGCCCATGCCTGATGGAGAGAACGCCCTACACCCTAAATTTTCCGAAACCTTACAAAGGATGCAATGTGGGAGGCAGGATGTGGGATCTGGATTGCCAATGGCAGGCCTCTGCAAAGGCATCAAAGCCGCTGCGCGTGGCATTCACACCTTGCCTGGGCTTGCAGGCTTGGGTGGCACCATCGGCCCAGGAGCCTCGCTACTACTACGACCCTTCACCCAAGATGCTCCCTAACATCTGGCCTTCCGCAAACAGAAGCAGCTTCGGAGTATGCAGGACCATGATGGTATGAGGATGATAGGGCGGTACTGGCAGTACCGGCACTGATTCTTGAGGCTTCTACTGAGACTTCGTAGTATAAATGGACTTATTTATCATATTACTGAAACGTCATCGTGGCATTTTGAAGGTTGACGGCCTGCCGTCTTCAGTCCTAAAATTTTAAAAGCCTCGGAGAGGCTAAGGAGCACGTCAACCGCGGAACCTGGAGCATGCCATAGTCTTGTTCTTCACCGAGTCGAGCAAACGCCAATGTGCCGTGGCTTAGCTAAACGCTTTGAGAATTCACACCGAAGGCTTTTTGCAGGCACTGGGACTATCCGCTGATTTCTGAATCTTTTAAGCCATATTCTACACCTTAACTACCTCCCCAAAATTCGAAGCCTGAAGCCCAAGCCTTTGAAGTCCCAGGGTCCCGATCGTCTCAGGATCCAGAAGCCTCGAGCGCGAGCGGAAAGGCCCCGATTGGTTCTTCACGTCCTGTACACGAGGCTGTGGCTTTCGGGCTGTTGATCCTTCAGTGCACAGCGTGTTGGGTTTGCTCTTCTTGGTTCCTGTCCATTCCTCCAGTTGCGGCTGCTGCTGTTACTGCTGCTACTGCTGCTGCTACAACAACAACAACTACTACTACTACTACTACTACTACTCCTACTAGTACTACTACTACTACTACTACGACTTCTCTTCTACTGCTACTACTACTACTACCACTACTACTGCTACTACTACTCCTACTACTACTACTACTACTACTACTAGTACTGCTAGTACTACTAGTACTACTAGTAGTAGTACTACTAGTACCTCTACTACTACT